TTCCTCCTTCCTCCCTCCCTCCCTCCATCTTTCCTCCCTTCCTTTCTCCCTCCCTCCCTCCATCCTTCCTTCCCTTCATCCTTCCTTCCTTCCCTCCCTTTGTCCTTCCTTTGTTCCACCCTCCCTCCCTCCTTTCCCTCCTTCCCTCCCTCCCTCTGTCCTTCCTCTGTTCCTCCCTCCCTCCCTCTCTCCTTTCCCTACCTTCTTGTCGTAGAAGTAGTTCATACACAGGGGTACGTTACCCAATGCTGCAAAAGATTAAAGATAAAAGACGCCTTTATCAGCACCAGGTCGTTTATCACAGATACAAAATGCATATTAAATATAATAAACAAATCTTAATCTTACGTCGTGGTAAGGGAGTTGTTAGCAATAGGCTAATGTTAATACATACGACAAACTCCACACTCACTACCATCACATATCATATTCTAAGCACTTAATTTTCAACTTTGCTGAGTTGTAGAGTTAGGAAAACTATAGTACCCGGAGTAAAACCTCCATGGCAAGGGAGAAAATATCCCATCTACTTACCGCAGAGATATAAATGGGCAAGGGCGTGAAGCTTAGTACCCATTCTTTATCATTAACAGATACTACAGGTAGCCCATCCATCCACTTACCACAGAGATGATATTGAGGTGTATAAATAGGGGTTGACATGTCGTAGAAGTGCAAGTCCATGTTAGTAGTAGCAACGACTAGTTTATGTACGTTGTTCATAGTGACAGCATCAGTCACCCACATCTTAATGTGTCTCTTGTTACTGGCCTTGTCCTGTGGGCTGCGTCCTTCCATCTCGATAATCCGCTGAAGTTCTAGCTCTGTACTCCAAACGCCGATGATTCCTTCCTAAAAATACATGAGATGGATTAAAAATATCAGACGTCGATATCAGTGATAAAAGTTCGCTGATAAACCAATGAAATCACTTGTTCTTTCGATATTTGGCACACGTTGTTGGAACCAATGAAATCACTTGTTCTTTCGATATTTGGCACGCGGTGTAGGAACCAATGAAATCACTTGTTCTTTCTCTAATATTTCATTATTCGACCAATCAAAGACCCCGTTCTTCAAATCTTTCTCATACTATACCTTACTAACAGTCACATATCTCATGGGGTTAAAGTCCTTGAGTGTCCTAATCGTCGTCTCCTTGTTGTGTGCTATCCTAGCGATGTTCATTTTAGGGTTGAACGATCCTTTTCCATATTTGGTAGTCACGTCGTGTTCTTTGAACTGAATCATCATGTACGTACAGAACTCGTCCCAGTCTACCAGGCCGTCTGATGCAATATCAACCTGGAAGGCGAACAGAATACTTGTCAGTTGTCGAGTATTATCGAGTCTGAAATGTTCTATTTTTGTTATGCTGTTGTTATCGTTTGTCGTGGTGTTGCTCTTGCTGTTGCTGTTGTTACTGCTGCTGCTGCTGCTGTTGCTGCTGTTGTTGCTGTTTTTGTTGCTATTGCTGTCTATTGCTTCTGCTATCGCTGCTGTTACTGTTACTCGTGCGCAATTGTCTTGATGCTGCTGCTGTAATTACTGTTGTTGCTGTATCTCTTGTCTTGATGCTACTGTTGTTGTTGTTGCTACTGCTGCTTGTGCGTAATGTCTTGATGCTACTGTTGTTGCTGCTGCTGTTGTTGTTGCTGTATCTCTTGTCTTGATGCTGCAGCTGTCGTTGTTGCTATAGTTGCTGCGCGCAATTGTCTTGATGCTACTGTTGTTATGTGCGTTGTCGAATTATCTCACCTTAGTAAACAACGTTTCCATTTCGTTTTCAAACACAGCAGCTCGATCTGTGTCCCAGCTTTCCACGTTCACCAGATCAGACAAGGTACTTCGAAACTCTTCCATCGTCATCAAGCCACTCACGTGGGTGGAGAGAGGAGCTCCCCTGCGCGCATTCCATTTCCTGAGCGCTGCCTTGTCCGACATGTGAGTCTTGAACCTGTACATCAGTTCCTCAAGACTGTGAATATCAAGCTGTTCTTCAAGACGAATTGGCTCCACCAGTTTACCATTGCTGTAAAGAAATTAGAACACCATGGGTGATAAATCGGGTATTCTTTGATCATCCCAGGAGTTGTTTCAGGGCCTTGATCTGTGAGTTAACCGTGCCCTGACTTAGATCAGCCCAGAGGTTATTTCAGGGTTCAATCTGTGAGTTAACCGTGCCCTGACTTAGATCAGCCCAGAGGTTGTTTCAGGGTTTGATCTGTGAGTTAACCGTGCCCTGACTTAGATCAGCCCAGAGGTCGTTTCAGGGTTTTGGATCTGTGAGTTAGCCGTGCCCCGACTTTGAACAGGTTCAAGGTTGTTTCAGGGTTTCAATCTGTGGGTTACCCGTGCCCTGATTTAGATCAGCCCAGAAGTTATTTCAGGGTACGATAAAATTTAGGGTTAATATCGATAAAGTAGTTTCTAGTAGTAAGAATAGAAATAGAAGAAACCTTCAAGTTGGAAGACATAAAAGACCCATTAGCCAAGCAGTCAACATGGAAAATAAATGCTAAACTCATGAGTCTTTTGTTAATAACTGTAAGAAAAAGCTTGCTCTTCATCGGAAGAGCTGTAGAGAGGTAGAGGATGAAGAAGCCAATGAATTTCAACCTTTCTGTTCACTAAATATAAACGTTATAGCTATGATGAAGATGTCACTTAGACTGATTTCCATATTTATATCGACAGCCAAAGTCAACATTACTTGCAACAAATATCGCTTGGTTTCCAAAACAGAGTTGAACTTGATTGCCAATAAAATAATGTCGCTGTAAAATTATACTTGAACATGGAATCTTGAAATATTATTTCTAAAAAAGCTTTGGTATAGAATGGCAATGAATTGAATGGTCTTGTTTTACCGAGAATTTAATATTAAGACGTGAAACAAAATCTCGAAATTCTTGTGTTAAATAAATATCGAAGTATATAGCATTCATCACCTGCTCGTAATTCGAGAACTTTAAGTACGTGAATAAAAACTTGTGTAAAATCATTGGTATATAATCTCTGAAGAATCGAGCTAATCTATATTATCATAGCTAATGCTTTTCTAAGAATTATAAGTGTTGTTTCCTACGCCTTATGTAAACAATAACAACACTAAATCCTGTAAAATTTCGACATGTTTAAACATTTGCACGACTGAAAACTCGTCACTTCTTTCCTTTGATACAAAACTTCTCAGTTGATTCCCTTCTATAAAACTAAAGCCAAATACTTACCGTATTCCCATATTTATATTTGATTAGCCCTAGTGTTATATGATTGTAAGTAAAACGTGCCGGTTGTAGGAATGTTTCGTGAAGGATTGGAAACACGATGTACGAGCAGCTCTCTCGCTGTGTCCTCACATCTTCCTTAGACCAAAAATCCGATTCACGATGTAAATTTTCGTGTTTACATTATTAGTTCTAAACTGCAGAGATCAGAGCTATACTCGTTCTATTATAGTTAACCTTAGTAGGCATTGCTCATGAATAACCGGTACATCTCGTTGCTATGGTGACGTACAGTATCTTTAGACGTAGCTGGTGTATTTGCAAGTCTAATTGCATGACTAACAAAGGAACGCATTAAAAAGATAATTGATTTTGATGATCAAGACACGAGTCATTAAAAGTTTTTTGCTTGTCAAAAGAAATCATTGAAATCAAGAAACTGATAGTATGATTATCAGATGAGCACAGGGAGCCCAAGCTTGGTTTTTGTGTGCCAGGAATATTTCTGTTTTAAGGTGGCTGAGGCTTTTGAACGTTCGATTTGAGCCCACGATGTGCACGCGCTCAAAAACCGCTGAATAATGTTCACGATTTTAAGGAAGAACCATACACGTTTTGAACTTCAAGAGGGCAAAACCCACAAATTTTGCACGGGACTCTATAATTTTTTTTGTTATTTTCCGGAATAACAGGTAATATCTCATTTTTCTTCCTTAGTTTTATGATTTTCTTGTACGGAGCTTGATTTTCGCTATTTTTCTTCGAAAATTGTACAAACGCATGTCATTCCGGAGTGATTATCTCAAAAACAAGCTCGGGAAGCCCCATTTTTCTTTGCATTTTCGAAAGCAGCATAAAATTTCAGGTTCAAAAAGTTTCATTTTTCTTTATTATTTACCAAAGTAGTCAGCCACCTTAAAGGCACCGATTAGGCTAAAACTTGGTTCTGGCTAGGAACAGGACACAAAAGAAAGGGTAGATGATGAAATTATCGAATTTATCCAAAAATGTCAGAAAATATTGATCAACCTCATACATTTTCTGTTGCATACTTGTACTGATACAATACCCATAGAGTGCATGCCATTTATCCGTGAAAAAAATCCAAATTACCGCTGTGTTTCTTGATTACAGACTCATTTGCACAGGGTTAGTCTCGAGTTTGTGCAGAATATTCACGTGTTCCAATCAAGGTCCGTCGAGTTTCAAAATGTTTGTATTGTTGAAGTTGTGCATTCTTTACTTTTCTGTTGATATTTGTGAATATTTAAACACTGATACGAGGCTAACCCTGTGCAAATGAGTCTGTAATCAAGGAACACAGCGGTAATTTAGAATTCGAAACTGGTGAATTGCACAAAGTTGCACAAATTAGTAAGTTCAGTATATGGACCTCAGTAGACCGTAGACCTACAAAACCTTGCACTAATTTGTAAAATTTCGTTAGTTTAATCTTTAACGAATAGATGGTATGCACTCTAATTGGTAAAGCCCAAGGAGACACAGACAGGCAAGCAGGCAGATTTCACAGCTAGACAGACAAACAGACAGTTCGAGACAGACAGACAGACACGAAGTCAGACAGATAATCCGATGGGAATAAATGACCAGTGTCTTATAGTCCCTCACCATGTCTTTCTTCGCTCCCTCACTGACCACCCGTCCCCTTTACTTTTTGCATAAGAAAACGTGACCTACCTGTCGTCAGTAGCAACGGTCATCGTGCTTGGACTGGCTAACGACTGACCCTTGAGAAAAACAGACGATTTATAAGTACGAATCTTAAATCCAAAATAATACTTGGTGTTTTATATCATGTTGGTTACTGCTAGCTCTAATAATATTCTATACATGCGTGATTCCTGTTGAGTTTGGCGACACGATTCACTTTGATTCAGAGTGTGTGGGTTTGTAACAACAGTGACAGAAAGAGATCCTCTTGTGATCACAACAACAGCATCTTGACAACCAAGAATACGAAATTACAAATCAATTCACCGCCAGATATAATCGACGTTGTGGGATCTTTACCAACTGTCTGAATCAAGTATCTTTTCCTTAAAAAATATATATTCGCATATCATCTAACTCGTACATTTTTAAAATATATCATGCAGAATCTTTAACCTTAAGTGATAAGTATTCTACATTGTTGTCTTTTTGTGTAGTCTCATAGCGGAGGAAATGGTTGATTTCATTGATCGAGTTCTTTAACGACAAAATATTTACCAAGTTGAATAAAAAAAGGTTAATTTTCGTGAACTGAAGTAGATAAATAATCTGTTAGGTAGTGCTTCATACAAAAGGTGTTTTGTCATATCGCCCTGACACTGTTTGTTTTTCAATGTGGTAACTATCAGTTCTTCTGTACATTTTTTTTTTTTACTCACCTTATAGTTCGGATTCTCTCGCTTTCTTTTCGCTTCCAAGTTCGACCAGATAACAGGGGCCAACATCCTCACTACAGTACGGAGCTGAAGAGTAGAGCCCGACGTCTGGGAAGTCTTGGAACACGCTGATAAACCACGAGAAGAACCCAACGAGATAGATCCGCGTTGACCATCGCCATTAGTACCGGGGACAGTTAGAAATGATGGCATCATTGCGTGACGTTGGTGGCACTTCACCTCACGAGATATGGTATTCACTTTCCCTTTAATCCATTGTGGTTTTTCTGGGGCAAAGTCCTAAGTCTAGACAATAAAAAAGAAACAAACGTATTAGACCACAGGACTTCGAAGTTATTGAAGCTGGGGTAAACATTATGCGAGCACAAAAATGTGAAATATCTTTGTCTAGATCGAGATTAGATAAGTATTAGTTTCATAGTGATTGTAATCTGTTATACATACATACATACATACTTTATTACTTCATCCCTTTACAGGGCTTTTCAGAAGCATTGACAAATAAAGAATACAATATGATATAAAAGTTAAATATAAATACAAGTATAAGTATAAATCTAATAAGTATAATAAATCTGATGTATACTATATATACGCCTGCCCTCAAAAGGACCGCGACAAGAAACATACGTACATAAACACACGTGCCGCTGTAGCACCTTTGAGGACAAGGTGCTGACTATAGAAAATAACAATAGCATATGTGCACATGCACGTACATTTCGGATCAAACCCCTTCGAAAATAGAAGTACATACAAGTTACATTATCATATATAATAAGAAAGGTAATATATATATATCTAAATATGCAAATGAATTCTAAAAACCTAAACTATAAGCATCATAATTCAAAAATTCTAATTATTGTAATCATAATTATCGTTGGTAAAATTTAATTATAAAGAAATTCCTTTAAGTGATTGCGCACGAAGCCTGGTCACGACACATGACAGTCAGTTGAGGAATGTCACTTAACTCTAGGACTTGCCACAAGGAGTCTACCACTTTTATTTTTCCGACAAAATGAGGAGTTTAGGCTTTAATGCTTCTAAGAGGAATTTCGAGCCTGACTTGTTTCATATCAGGAATTTGATTTGCGTTTTCGCGCCAAAAATAATTGCCGCCAATTTTAACTGTCTGAAAAAAACCCTCGGTAAATTTGGCGCAAAGTAGAGTTTTCTTTTTTGTGTGTTACATTTTCAAGAAGTATTCTTCTATCATATCACGGAAACAACACCGACAAACGCACTCAACTTCTAATGGAGTTCTGTTGCTTTGCGGCGTTTGCACAGGAGCGCATGACAGATATATACTTGCCGCTGCCACCTGTGTTGTTTATCTTTGGGCTTCCCGTTCAGTAAAACACAGACAACTGAGATTTCGTTGCTGACTTAATGAGACAGAAAATAAGATAATCATGCGATTTTTTCTCAATAAACGCAGTCATAATTGTGATTGTTAAGAAAAGATTTGGTCACTAATAGTGGTACATAGGTAATAGGTACATGGCGCACCTCAAGTCCTTAGAAGCCAGATCTCAAAGGAAAATGCATCAGGAATTTTACGATAAAAAAAGCGAGATCTAAAAAACCTTGATAGCATAGGACTGAGTTGATTCAAGGCTGAATAATCTAATAACGACTACCGGTTACTAGTTTGGAATCTGTTGGTGCAGTGTTGAAATACAACAAACGAATGAGGAAACTTACAACACGGTGTAGTAAGAAAACTATTTGCAACTGTATTTCGCAACGTTAGCCTCTCTCCGCAGTTATTTTCCTTCTTATAGTCTTAGGTCTAAATAATACTAGTTATACATTCAAAGTGATCGACACGTGTGCCAGAGGCGGATCTTTCTTTGTTCAATAACATAAACAAACCCCTTACTTTGAACTCTCAAATCAACACGACTCCAAACTTGTCTGAAATGAATTCGTAGAGAAATATTATCAAAACAAACGAAATTCAGTCTTAACTATAGAAAAAAGAAGCGAATAGAATCGTTAAGTCAATAACAGTCGAATAAAAGCGATAGTTTCTTATGTCGAGGCTTCCAAAATATATGTATTCTTTGCCTCTTGTGCGTCAGCCTGAACTTTAATTGTAAAATTCAACTCGTGAATCGAAAATCCAGAATTCCACGACCATTTTGTGAGGATTTAAGATGGAAAATGGTATTTCAGCGTTTGTTTTATGCCAGAACGTTCAAGGAAACACGTGATATTTCTTTTAGTCTAAATGTGTAAATGTCTTTTTTCGGTGGACAACGTTAATGACATTGACTGTATATTTTTCAAACTTCTGGAACTTTCTTAAGAGTGTTACTTTTGGATTATCTGACTTACCTCAGCTCCTCCTTCAGTTTGACTTATGCTCAAGTATTTGTAAATTATGCTAAAGATGTCAAGTTTTCTTGACTGAGCTTCTCGTACGACTTACTAATGTTCTAGATAATATATAAACTCGCACGCTTGCTCTCTCCTCATTAATTCATCGCAACTAGAATTTCCAGACTGCTTCTTTACTTTGAAGTTTTATGTTCCATAAATATTCTCCTACCGTAGATTATGACGGATTACTTATAATAAACCGATGCTTACACAAGCTTACTAATGTCTTTGTCATTGCCATGGTAACGGTTTAACCTATCATTAGTGCTAATCGCCCTCCAGGAAACAAAGAAACAAGAACAATTGGCTAATTAGCACAAAAATAGTCTCTTCACAGCTTAAATACTAATAACGTGGCTGGATAATTAAAGTTGTTTTTGAATAACTTTGCATGTAAAAGTTTGATTACACTAGAGTGATCAAGACATCTCTGTTGTCTCCCATCCATGACGGGATCCAGGAATTTTTAAGGGGGGTGAGGGAGGGGGTCCAAACGTATACTAGTATTTATACCATGCAGTTAGACCTTTTCTTAACCACCCATTTATATCCTCCCCTTATGGTTAAATATTAAAAATACATTTCTACATAAATATAAACTTATTTCAAATCATTGGTAAAACTAAATTCTAGGATAAAACAATCAATTGAACCTCACCTGAATCCTTCATCCTTTCCTTGGACCCACTGAAGAGGCTGTTTAAGAACTTGTTTACACTATAATGATAAAAAGGTAAATTTTACACTGTGAAAAGATGAAAAAACTTACTCTTTTACTCCGACGAAGGACTAGCGTCCGAAAAATCAGTAAGTTTTTTCATCTTTTCACGGTGTAAAATTTACCCTTTTATCATTAGTTTCATTWGAAACACCGACGCAGCTCACACTAGTTTTTAGCTAGTTATCTCTTCATGTTTACACTGTACGGCCTACAAAAACTGTGAAAGCTGTTGCGGTGTCCCTACCCTGAGGGGAAAAACCAATAAAATTAAATTAAGAAAACTACACTTTTGCATTTTGCAAGGGAGTTTCATTTCCCTAAGAAGACAGTTGTCATATATTTGACTCACAACATGCTTTGGATGGCCTTGGATGGATGGGTAGTACGATGCGATGGGATGGATGAATAGGAAGGTGGGGGAGGATTAGATGGAAGGGGGATAAATGGGATGGATGCTGAATGGATGGGTCAGTAGGATTTAATGAATGGATGGGGTATGGAGGAAGGGAGGGAGGAAGGGAGGGAGG